GAAACGCATCCGAAGGTCGGCACACACATGAGCGTGATCAGAGTCTACGTTCGTGCTTCAAATCGAGCGACACTTTTGGACGCAGCTTATCCCGCGGTAACTGATCGCTATGTGATCGATTTGCTTCCATGACTGGTCCGAGGCTGGTGGGCGCCAAGTCACCTTTTTGTGGATGCTGTGTCGTAAGTTAGTACTCGCGAGAAAGAGACGAGCATTTTCACACAGGTGTAGCAACCGCTCACCGTTATCATTACGGAGCGTACATCTTGTTGACTGCCCAGATAAAGCTCATCACTGTACAGTTTTCTAACTTGGTTGTTCAACTCACCATCAAGCACTACGGTATCCATACTTCTTTTGTAACGAAGGAGCGCGTCCAATTGTTGATAAAGGTCGTCTTTCATCGAATCAGTGCTACACGTTGTTCCGAGGCGAAGCTGAGTGTGTGAGATAACCATCTAGATGTTTTTCGACGGCTGCGCTTTGTTTGCAATGAATTGCGACGCATAATGACAGCCTTCTTTACGTAGGTGGCCAGATTCTGGCTTACGGTCAACACAGGTATGATGTTTGTGTTTTCAAATGCCACCAGAAATTTAGTGCGTTTGGTGTCCACGAACTAAAGTTGTCGACCAAGCTTTGGCTAGCTCATCGTACTTTCGCTTTCCTGGGAGCATGTTTACAGTGAACCTGTAGATGATCAGCGAGCGGCGCACCGGCGTACCGAAGGTGATTGCTCAATTTAGGAAGCTGAAACGCAGGATGTGGTATAATCATTAACTGGACCGTTGTGACCTAGCGGACGGTACGTATGTAAATGGTGCTGTCGGCTCTTCTCTACACCGTTCCGAATCGATATTCAGTATCCAGAGCGATTAAATCAGCAATGCTTGGGTCGGAGAATGCGCACCCGTTGGTGTGATGAAATATGTGATACATAACTGTTCAACCGCAGTAACACGTACGGAATGGATTGAATGCTGCTACTGGAACACCTCGTTTGGCTCCGACATGTCAGCCGTATGGATGCTAACACCATACAGAAAGGCGTGCTGCGTGGCCAACTGCGTGCAGGGAAACAAAATGTGCACCAACCTAAGTTACATTGCAAGAACATAATCGATGTAAATTTTTCAAGAAGTAATATTGAATTTGGGTGTTGATAAGCGATAGCAGTAGATCGCCGCTCAGAATGCCACTGCTCAGATGCCTCAGGAGAGACTTGCATCAGAAAGAAAAGCGTCAGTTGCAGGAGCGACAGGCGCCGATGGGTCATAACCCACGACTTCATGCACCTGATGTTGTAGCACATTGTGGAGTGTTCCTCAACTGAAGTACGCCATCAGCGTGGCCACGAGGTGCTGCTATCGTAGGTGCAACAAGTTGAATAGGTAAATGCCAGCACATGGTAAGTACACTGCTTCCGGTTCCATCTACCAACCCGGGCCAGCAATGCGTCAGGTTTGACAATTCTGTTGCATCGTCGCTGCTGTTGGCTAGGTCTCAACAATTCTTCGCTCGCCGTCTCCGCTCTCGCTCTATTACTCTCTGGAATTTCTCTCCTCGGTCGACCGAACCTGTGAAGCCACGTTTTACCGCGCCACCGTTTAACCACTTTATTTCACGTTAATTCAACCCCCATTCCTTCACATTTTGCCAGCGTTTGTTGGTAGGTATCCCCGCTTATTGCAATTGTTAACAATGTGCCTGTATGTCGAAACCGTCATGTCAGTTACTGTCTCTACGAGACTGTTGATCCCTTATAGGGGGGACGGGGTGCACAGTCTTCGTGACAGTGCTAAACTCAAAGAATGATTCCATCCAACGTGGAACAGTCTACGGCACAGCCACCGCTCTCCGTACGCCTGATATGCATGTTTTTCTATGTTTCAATGAATTTCTTACATTGTAGAGTTTCGGGGCTACTCTCAGTCTCCCTACGCTGCACTCCCCCATGGACCGGTTTTGTTCTTATTTGGGCTGGTTAGTCAAATATAGTCTAAATTGAGAGTAAAACCCTACACCTAATGATTGATGGCTCATGTCATGGTTTCAGTCGATATTGTATCGTAATGTAGGCACACGGCGACCACATATTTACTCTTCGCCAAGTTTTGAGCAGACACCTACAGACGATCAACTATGGCGGTTTTCTTCGGCTTTAAAACCCTCTTCGACTCTGTTGACCGCGCCAGCTTGTGGCACTGCCTATTTATGTAGGGCGTGCCAGCTAAACACCTTTCCATTCTGAAGTCTCTGCCGTGATTCGTGAGACTGTGTAAAGGTCTACGGGAAACTATCTCCTGAGTTACTCGGGACAAGTGGGGTTCGCTAAGGTCGTCCTATATCTCCTTCCGTCTTCAAATGTGTGATGAAAATTGTTGTGCTTTCCGCTGATTGGATGGATAACCTGCTGCTAATGCTCAAGCTGACAGGCCGAATTTCAGGTTAGAAAACAAAGACCTAATGTGAAAACTGTGTTGAACACCTAGCAAACATTATAAACAATCAAGTAATGGACTCAAGTCAATAGTTAATAAGGGAATAGCATAGGGCTCACTGGCAGGCTTCGAGGCAGACCATTCTCATTGGTAGCGTTCCAGGTGAAATGTCATCATTGGTTGGTTGATAAGCTTTGGACAGTGTCAGGGTCAACTGTTCCGCGTTGCTAGCAAAGTGATGCCGGCTCCCCTAGCAAAAGTGATCATGAACGACCCGGTTCTTTCCAATTCTACCGGAGTGGAAGTTCCATCAGGTGACTGACTGACAAACGTGTAGCAGGCCGGCGACAGCCTTCTTGGGTCTGACGCAGTGGCTATGCAAACACTACTGGATAGACTGACACGTAGCTTTGCATTCTTCGGCATCTGCTTTGCGCCTTCAAAGCCTAGGTATTTTTGCAGGTCTTGGACCGCCACACCCCCGGTTTTAGTTATTGTCGTATAGCCACTGGACGTGGTGGATCGGTTCACTCATCTTGGTAGCTGTGTTACCTCCGGTGGTCACATCGCATATCAACAAAGCTCGTGTGACTTTCCGGAGGCTCAACTATTTAGGGTGACGGCGGGATATCAGCCTGTCAGTGAAAGATATGGTGTATGACGCTGCGGTAAAGGTCATCTTATTGTATAGATCCGAGACTTGGCCAGATCGCAGTGAGGGCGTTAAACTCTTAGCGATGCTTAACCACAGGTGCTTGTGGCTGGTGGGAATACCAGGTAGGGAACGCTAAGGTCCGCCAGTTCGTTTTTGGCAAAATGCCATCTGGTGCTTCACTCGAGTGTTTGTTGGTTCTTAATCGCTTACGTTGGCTAGACCATGTCCTCTGTAAGACTGTTTACCGGCGTCTTCGGCGTGCATTATACGCCGTGGCTCCATCAACTTGGGCGAAACCGCGAGGTGGCGAATTCATGATGTGACACAGAATCTTGAAAAAACTGACTGAGTGACTTGGTCATGGATGGGGTCTCGGTATTATCAACACCTCTGGTTGGAGACCGTGTCAGACATGGCTCAGTCGCACATCAGTGGATTTCCTGCATTCGGTTTCTTGCCTCTGGTTGCTAAGCTATGTTTCATCCTGATTACTTTACTGCACTTCCTTTTTCCGTTTTCTTTACCTTTATTTGTGTTCAACCCCACTATCTCGACGTTATTTATTGTTATTCTTGCGATGTGTGTCGTGGCAACTATATCCACCGCACTTCGGTGTTCGGATCCCTAGTTCAACTGAACTGAACACGGCGACTTTTAGAGAACCAAGCAATGATTGGCATGCAGGTTACAGGAGTGTGGGCTAGCTCCGAATCAATCCTGGCTCCAATCTACAGCCTCTTAATCTTATTTCTTCAGGCTCATACTGGGTATGTAGTGTGTGTATGGAACTGTGAGTGGTGCATTGTAAATCACTCGTCTCTCACTAGGCGCAAGCGTCCTGTGTCTGTTTTCAATTTCATTGATAGACAACTCTAGAAGCGAATATCCTCGACTAAAATGCAGGCGTATAGTGCGCGCCTTCTACTACGCGTGTTAAATCGACTGGCAATCCTTGTCCACCTTGTCATGAACAGTGTCATGACCAGTGAGTGGAAACAGTAAGGGCTTCTTAATGGTATCACCATTGATACCGGAAGAGTACCTTACCTAGCTCTGAAGCTCTTGCAAATATTAGTACGATAAAATCCCCTATTCCTATATTTAGCGGGACATGACACTGTCGATTTGGGAACCAGTCGCATTCAGTACTCAATCCTCGTAAGGTCCTACGTAGGATATAATTAAGGTGGCTGACCACGCGGTTGAATGTTGTTAGTTCACTTCCTCTTCCAGCTCTGTGTTCACGAGGCCAGTTCTGCGCATGACTAGAGCCATAACGATAGATTGCTTACTGTTGACTGTACTCATCTGTTTTCCGTTGTTTCCCAATTGAGCTGTTTGCCTAAAACATGTATATGATACTGAGTTTTCCGTGGGTAGGTTTACTTATGGGCATACAAAGCAGCTATTTCATGTATTCTACGTCTCCTTCACAAACTACATGGCTTTTTATTACCTTCCAATTTTATCATTACGTACTTGCTGCGTTCACGTGCATTATGTCGTGTGGTTTGCAATTGTTAAAGTCACATCTCGTAAGTTGCGATTGGGTAGCAACAGAGCTTCCGTAGAGCGCTGATGTATTACTGTTGTTGATTTTGATAGTGATCAGCACCACCTCCGTAAGGTTGCACTACTGAAAGTCCTTGTTCAATACATCCTCGCATTTTTAAAGTCGCAAATGATAAGAAGTTTATCTCTATACTTTTGTCCTAGCAGTAATAGTACTGCTTACTGACATTGGTAGTTCTCTGTGTTTAACCTCATAAGGTGTATCGAAGCATTGGTGCATTGCGTTCGCCATCTCAAGGATTTTCGTACATTCCGTCAGTAATGAGTTCGCACAGTCTTGTTCGTTTTCTACTTAGTCACTGACGGGCGACCCGTTTTTGTTTGTTACACAGTATCGATGGCGCAGTTTCGGTGAAGTACGCTGGCGATCGGAGTGCGAGGGACATTGTGACATTCGCATTAAGGGCCCATGGGTGAGTTCGAGTGATGAACCAGGTGCCCCTTTATATATATATATATATGTATATATATATCTATATATATATACATACATGGTTGGCGGCATCCGGTTTCGGATTTGCCTGTCACTGTGGCAAGCCACAGGACGCCTGCGCCTACAGAGGGACCATGGATGGCTTGCGCTGCACCACCCACAGCTCCAACCACATACCCCATATCCAGTGTAAACCCGAAGGAATAAGACCGGGAGGCATGCGGATGGGAACCACGTTTCATCAACGGAGCCGGCCCACACTCCTTCACAGGCAAACACAAGCACGCTGTATTTGTGGAGTCAAGCGCACACAAGGCGGTGGCTGGACCGTAGTCCGCTCCACACTGAGTGCATGGAACCGCTCTTTGAGCCTAGCACGGCCACAAGAACCGTGCATCCCGTCCCCTCCAGCAACGACCAACTGTCTCCTGGAGCCAGTATGAACGATGTAGTGGGTAATAGACAGGTAGGCACCTTGTCAACATACACAACAAGCGCAACCATACCAGGGATAGCAAACAACAGCCATTTAATTTAAACGACAATATATATATATATATATATATATATATATATATATATATATCCCATGCTGAGGTAGATGTTGCGTTCATGATGCTTCTTCACCGCAGTCGAGCTAAGTCAGCATACTCTTAAACTAGATCTTTTTGAGCTTTATAAATTTCATTCCACTTTGGTTTCTTCAGCCTACCTGAATAATTTTCTAATAAGTTGCACGCGTTGCTTACGCTAATTGTAGTTATCGTTAATTTTACCTTGTTTGTGGCATTTTTGAATAACTTGTGGACATTTTGTACTTTTCGTGGATTCTTTGCTAACCAACTTACTTCATATACTAATTTAGGGAAGAGTTATGTCTGCATAGCCGTATTCCTTAACAGATATATTTTATTTGCTTGTGTTATTTCAAGTGATTGGCTGTTGTTTGACATCCCCGGTGTGGCTGCGCTTGATGTGCATGTTAACAAGGTGCCTACCTGTCTACTACCCACTATCTCATCTATACTGGCTCCTTGAGATAGTTGGTCGTTGCTGGAGGGGACGGGGTGCACGGTTTTTTGACCATGCTAGGCTCTAAGAGTGGTTCGATATACTCAGTGTGGAGCGGGCTACGGTCCAGCCACCACCTTGTGTGCGCTTGATTCCCCAAATAGAGCGTGGTTATGTTTGCCTGTGAAGGAGTGTGTTGGTTCCGTTGATGAAACGTGGCTCCCATCCACATACCTCTCGTTCTTATTCCTTATGGGTTTACACTGGATATGGGGTGTGTGGATGGAGCTGTGGGTGGTGCAGCGCAAGCCAGCCATGGTCCCTCTGTAGACGCAGTCGTCCTGTGGTTGGCAACAGTGACAGGCAAATCGGAAGCCTAATGACGTCAACCACATATATATATATATATATATATATATATATATATATATTGCGGCTTTCGGATTACATCTGAATGACCTATGTCTTGCTTTCATGAATTCTACAAGTTGATTTGTTGGCTGGCAAACTTTATCACACCTTGTTGCTCGGTTTGCATTTCGGCACTCTTTTGCCGCTGGTTATGATATATCTGTATCCTTTGACCCCGGTACCGGACTACTTTCTACCATTCCCGGCAACTGTTGATTACTTTCCGTCGCAAGCTTGTTCACATGATTCTTTGCCTCAGTACCGGTCTTCTTAACCCATATTAACGTAACAATGGCATATCCTCGTCCTTCTTTTGGGTAATAACCGAAATATGTTATGGGGCGACAAGTCTTCCCATATCCACTAAGAGTACTTTGTGACATGATCTGTATGCATCAGAATCGAGAGGATTAGGGACACTGGGACTACTTAGTGGCCATCCGACTCACGGGACCGGTTAACGCTTCCTTGAGGGACGTAGTATCTAAGAAGGGTGGGTACTTGATTCACACAAGATTTGAAGCTGGACCAGTTACCACAGGTTTTGTTCAGTCTATCCGTATGTCGCCATTTGTAGTTAGTCCACCCGACCTCAACTCGGACGCCGACTCTATCGTTTTCAACATTGAAATCTTAAGCATGAACTGGTGCTGCTGAAGTGAAACGAACCGCTTGATCCCGACGACCTTCTTGGTTGCTAAACTAGATTGGCCTTTCACCTATACTGTGCTTAGCGATTCTTTTTGTCAATAATTTACGCAAGCGAGGTGAACTGTCGGATTTGTGGTTTTCGGCCATCACTTTAAAAGCATCCATGGACGTCCTAGTGAAACCACTGAACTGTTCAGTTTACCATTGTTTTCAAGCTTCACATACCTATCGTTCTCTGTCGCCTCACTGGTCCGTGTGAATGCCGGGCTCGCCTCAGTCCTGGTATTGGCCGGACATCACTAATCAGTTGAATTACGCCATGCACATGGTCTGCTCAAGTTGTCACTTTTGATTTAGGTGATCACGCTTGTGATATTTTGTTCCATTATAACGTCCTATAGAACCATGCAAGAGTCAGTGAGAATCTAGATTTCTCATCTCTTCCCTCACTCGTTCATCTCTATCGTTTTGGTGTAATTGTTCACGAATGGTTGGCGGCATCCGGTTTCGGATTTGCCTGTCACTGTGACAAGCCACAGGACGCCTGCGCCTACAGAGGGACCATGGATGGCTTGCGCTGCACCACCCACAGCTCCAACCACATACCCCATATCCAGTGTAAACCCGAAGGAATAAGACCGGGAGGCATGCGGATGGGAACCACGTTTCATCAACGGAGCCGGCCCACACTCCTTCACAGGCAAACACAAGCACGCTGTATTTGGGGAATCAAGCGCACACAAGGCGGTGGCTGGACCGTAGTCCGCTCCACACTGAGTGCATGGAACCGCTCTTTGAGCCTAGCACGGCCACAAGAACCGTGCACCCCGTCCCCTCCAGCAACGACCAACTGTCTCCTGGAGCCAGTATGAACGATGTAGTGGGTAATAGACAGGTAGGCACCTTGTCAACATACACATCAAGCGCAACCATACCAGGGATAGCAAACAACAGCCATTCACTTTAAACGACAAGCTGAAATAAAATAAATCGAATAATGCATACAGATACGGTGGCATAACTCTTCGCTAAATTACCATATGAAGTAATTTGGTTAGCAACAAATCCGTGATAAGTAAGACATGTCCACAAGTTACTTAAAATGCTACAAACGCAACAAAATTACCGAAGATGAGCGCAATTAGTGTAAGCAACGTGGCCAGTTAATAGAACATTATTCAGGGAGGCAGAACAAACCAAATAAAGCGGAATGAAATTTATCCAGCTTAAAAAGACCTAGTTTAAGTGTAAGTTGGTTTAGCCCAACTGCGGTGAAGAAGCATCAAGAATGCAACATCAGCCTCAGCATGGGACACATATATATATATATATATATATATATATATATATATATATCACAAGCTGTGTACTGATATTTTGCCATCGAAACCATGGCGGAATAGGAAAACAAAATTAGATTAAATGAAAAAAGAAAACGGACAAATTGTTTGTCCATTTTTCCACTCGTAGTTTTTGGGTTTTTTGATGTTTTTATAGGGGGAGAGAAGATGATCCATCCATGGTTCGTCAGTGGGCGAGATACTACCCGGTTGCCCAGGCCGAAGTAGAGGGTTGTCTAAGAAGACGCCACCCCGAGAATTTGATCCAGGAGCTAACCTACAGGGCAGCAGAGCGATATGAGGGTATCGCAACTCGTTTGGAGCCGGTGACCAAAACGAATGGTTCATACGCTTTTAGGACTGCATAGAGCCAGGGGCCCAACATACCCTTGAATTACAATGCCACTCAGAGAGAGGCAAGGGGCAGTGACTTTATTTAGTGGCGAGTCACATCCGCTACATCACAGTGTTGTTAAACAGACATTTGTGGCTGTTTATAGGGAGAACACTTGCCAGGCGGAAACCCATCACATCCTGGAACAATGCCGCCGAAACATTCGCTGGAACGGGAGAATCCCGAACCAGCATGGTATCAGCAGCTGCAGAGAAATAGCTAGCGCCGTTTTTACGCCGAAAGACAAACGGTTGTACTGGTATAGCCCATGGTGAGTATTAATCGTCAAAAACACTTTCGAGGACTCGGCAACATGTACCTGAAGGTATGCATCAGACAGGTCAAGCTTGGCAAAGCACCTGCTACCATTCAGTTTCGCGAGGATGTCATCTAGTAATGGCAATGGGTAATGGTGGTCATCGAACGTAGCGTTAAGGTCAGTTGGGAAATCTGTTCAGAAGAGTTTTATCATCCTCTTTCTCCACTGCGATAACGGGTGCGGACCGTGAAGTGTAGTTTACAGGTGTGATGACGCTGGTTCACTCCAGCTCTTGCACGACGAGTGGCATCGCTGCATACGGCAAAGGTCGTTTAGCTTTAAAGACTGGGTTGGCTCCTGGTCGCAAAGACAACGTCGCTGTGAATTTGGTGCAATGGCCTAGGCTATGCTGAGGCACAGGGAAAATTTTTTCAGTAGATATGTCCTCTTTGACCGACTTCGTCAATGCGCCTGGCTTCATTTTAATTCTATTGTAAACCTGATCCAATGGAACATCGAACAATCGCAACTTTTCCATCCAGTCTAGCTCAAGAAGGTCCAAATCTGGCCTATCCGACATCTAAACCATCCCCGTTTCTTCCACACCGCTGAATGCCACTGTGCAGGTAATTTATGCGATTAGGTTGAGCACGGCACCGGATGCATTTTGGGCTATGCTGTGAGACTTGATCATCGTTGGCTTCTTTATATGATTCCAAGTGTTTCTGGAAGTGATTATGAGGTCTGACGACGTGTCAAATTGTGGCTTCGTTGAGATACCGTTGATTAGCACGATGATGAATAGTCGTCGTGGCTTAGGTTCACTATGAAATGCGGCAATTGCCGGAAGCGATTCTGTATCATGATTCCGAGAGTTCTACGATGGGTAGAACTTCTTCGTGTCCTTCGGCCGG